TTGACCTTTGAACTCGATGTGTCAAGCGATGTGTTTTCATGCATATTCTGTGATATTTTGAAGTTGTTAAAAAGGTTGTACCACTGTTTTATGAGCGCGAGATAAACCGCGCTAATTTTTGAATTTGAAAACCGCGGGAATAAGTCTGCTGCATCAATTATTGTATTCTCGTTCTCGTACAATTGTGTACATTGTCTTATTCTGAAGAAGACCTGTTGGTCGAAATATCAATACAGTAATATTTGGCTATTCAAATAATTTTTAAATGTCGAGGAGAGGTCATTTTTTCATATATTTTCTCTCTCTAATATTCATAATGTTCCTCGCAAGAGCGCTCCAAAGAATAAGTTCTGAAGAGACAAGCATTGACCGACAACGAGTGCTCATCGAAACTCTAAAGACACCTGAAAAACTCGCGAAAACTCTCATGAGAATAGAATTTTTGACCGCATGCAGAAGAAACAACCTTATTCCCAGATTTATACAAGATTCTTTGAAGCCAGTCAGCAAGGCTTTTGCAAACAATGATCGAGTTTTGGGTAGATGCCATTCTTTTGCTTCTTCCCTACTGAACGAGGCCATCGCTGAAACTTTTCGCCACAAAGCATACCTGGAAAGAAGGAAGGACTATTTAAGAAACGAAGTTTCTTCGCTCTTAACGGAGGAGAAGGTAACAGAACTGGCCCAGACGTGTAACATGGTATTCGACATCACGGTGAGGGAAAATCGCCCAAGGCTGGTGAGGAAGTTTTGCCATCTACGGCATGAACGGAACACCTTCCGTGGCCTTGACACCGAGGAGGATGTCACCGAGACGGCTGCTCCCATCCGTGATGCCAACACCAAGCGGGTCAACAACATCTCTTCGATTGATTTGGAGCAAAAACAGTTGAACATCCTAGCCAAAGGACCAAACTTTGCGGTGACGCAACAAGTCTCTAAACACGTACTCCTTGAAGTTGAGAAGAGTGTCGAGAGATTAGCATATGCTAAACGATGGAAGGACGACATTCAGCGACGGAAGCAAGTTGGAGGCTCTCTCCAGACGACCAGCGCAGCTGCTACAGCGGATATGGTACGCCAGCCAGCTACTTCACCGGCAGACGACCCCCGCCCCGAGGCCCCCGTAACTGGGCGGGTCACACGGAGCACAACAGAAGACGACGCTAGCCCCCCGCCACGCCCAGAGGAAGCACCAGCACCGGGACCGGAAGTGCAGCAGCTCGCAGCGGAAGTGCAGCGCGACGCAGACTCAGCGGAGCGGAACAACAAGGGGAAGACCACGGCCTGGATGAACGTCAGGGATGTGGCAACACCGCCACGTTCAACTTCCGCTTCCCAGACACCAGTAAGAGGTTCCCACCTCCTTCTAGTAGGGAAGTAGAGTGTACTCTTCATAAGCTAAAGAAAGATGTAGTGCGGATCTACAAGGGACATAAGCTTAAGGATAGCAACATTTCACAAGATGAAGCTCAGTTCGTTAAGGGGTTATCGAAGAAGGAGGACGTCATAGTGAAACAAAGTGACAAATGTAAAGGTTTTGTTCTGATAGACAGGGACACCTACAAAAGTAAGGCAGAAGTGATACTTAATGATGTGCAAAACTATGAAAAACTTGAGAAAAATCCAGTAGCTCAGGTTGAGGCCAAAACAAAACAGGTTTTCAAACGTTAGCTAAGGGCAAGCTGCCTCTAGCGTTTGTTCCCACTCACCTCAAGGACACCAGGGACTTCCTGTCTCGTGCGGCAGACCACTGCCGAACTCACCCACTCACTGAGGGCGCCATTTTCTTTAGTGTAGACGTAGTGAATCTCTACGGTAGCATTCCGATAGGAGAAGCCATAGAAGCGGTTAGAGAAAAACTGTTAGCTCATGGCAAGGATATTGACACTTTTGGTTTAACGTACGATGATATTGGTGCCCTCTTGGACCAGTGCCTAAACAATAATGTGTTTTCGTTCGGGGATAGCTACTATAGGCAGAAACTAGGCATAGCTATGGGAAACCCGTGTGCGCCACCTTTAGCCATCATTTTTCTGGATAGGTTTGAACAGCAGGCTCTCGGAAACGCAGCTCTGAAACCTGAGTTTCTGGTAAGATATATAGACGACTATGCAGGCATTTGGATACATGGGGAGGAGGCGCTGTTAGGCTTTGTAGACTATCTGAACAGCATACATCCTAATCTAGCTTTCACCTTGGACTTCACTAAAGATAACAAAGGGGTGCCCTTTTTGGACACTTTGGTTACTATCGAGACATCCCAGGCAGGTAGGGCCAAACTGGAGACGGAACTGTATATCAAACCAACGAACTCGGGCATAGTGTTACATGCTACCTCAGCACACCCCTCAGCTACTAAGCATAGCATGATTAGGAACATGTTCCATAGAGCCTACAACAATGCTTCCAGCACAAGTAAGGCAGAATCTGGAGTGAGCAAGATTAGGGCATTGCTACTGGGTAATGGTTATTCGGCACAGCTGTTGAAAAAACTTCTAAGGCAGGTCAGACAAGCGAGGTCAAAGGGTAGGGCACCGAAACAGACGTTGGGGGAGGATGGCTTCCTTACCTTACCGTACATATATGAGGATTTGCTATGCAAGGTGAAAAAAGTGGTCAAGAAATCGGGGCTGGACGTGAAAGTAGCATGGCGTAATGATAAAAAGTTAAAGAAACAGTTAGTGCGGTCGGCCTTTTCCAAACCTCAATGCCCGGGCGGCAACAGATGTAATCTATGTAAGACAGATTTTCGCGGACTATGCACACAAAAAAACGTAGTTTATAGGATAAAATGCAAACTTTGTGCTTCTGATGTAGGTCAAATGGAGTACATTGGGGAAACGAAAAGGCCCTTGAGGCTGCGGTTCAATGAACATTTACGTGATATGACGAGCCAAAAACAGGATACACCCTTAGGAGACCATTTTCGTACCTGTCACCCACAGACTACAGGCAACCTCACACACATAGATGTTGAAGTTTTGTACCGGGCAAGAGACCATCCTGACCGCAAAATAGCGGAATCACTACTCATCAGGCAGCTTGACCCAAGGCTTAACTCAAATGTGTCCTCATGGCCTATCATGTAGATATAAATGTGGGTGAGTGAAGATTTGGAAATGTATGAAGTGTGATCGTGGAAATGTCAAATGCTTCCTATGGCCAATTTTGTATTGCTAAATTTGTAATGCGCTTTACTGGACTTGTGAACAATCAGTGCGAATGAAGATCTGTATATATGTGTATATTGTATAATTTACATTATCTGGCTATGGTTTGACCTTGATGGTCATGGATACGTTGAACTCTAACCTTGAACTCGACCTTCTTGTCTGGCATTTGAACCTAGTGCTTTGACCTTTGACTTTAGAGTGTTGACCTTTGAACTCGATGTGTCAAGCGATGTGTTTTCATGCATATTCTGTGATATTTTGAAGTTGTTAAAAAGGTTGTACCACTGTTTTATGAGCGCGAGATAAACCGCGCTAATTTTTGAATTTGAAAACCGCGGGAATAAGTCTGCTGCATCAATTATTGTATTCTCGTTCTCGTACAATTGTGTACATTGTCTTATTCTGAAGAAGACCTGTTGGTCGAAATATCAATACAGTAATATTTGGCTATTCAAATAATTTTTAAATGTCGAGGAGAGGTCATTTTTTCATATATTTTCTCTCTCTAATATTCATTATAAAACATTCATTACTTGCGCTCTTGGAATTCGGTTACAACAGTTTAGGCGATATTTCAACGACGATATTTCTGCTCTAAGCGATTCGGCCATTCGGCCGATATAGACACTTGCGCGAGAAAATCGCCGCTGTAACGACCGAATGAACCGGCCGAATGGATAGTGTGCGGTGGCCTTTATGCTGTTTAACCCTACTCCTGGCGGGGTGGGGGCCTCAGGAGCCCCCCCCCCCTGAGGTTTTTGGTTATTTCTCCCAAACGCTTTGAGGTAGGAAGCTCAAATTTTCTGACTTTTACTAAAAGGCTTTTACGCAACATTTCTGAAAATTTTGAGTTGATCTGACCTCAGGTCAGGTCACCAGAGGCGGTTTGGTGACCCTACCTCAGGTTTGCAATCACGCCAGAGCTAGAGTTTTTGACCGATCAATTTCTTCTCTTCAGGCTTTAGTTAGGGTATCAGTATGTGCAATTTGTATATCTCAGAATTTTCATATCTGTGACCTGAGGTCAGGCCAGACTCGTGACCTTTACATTGCAAGCCTATGGGAAAATATTGAAACGCCTCCTGCTTCGTGTAAACGAGTCAAAACCACCCAATTCTTTCAGTATTATGGAAGATTATCCCACCGGTGATGATCCTGGTGCCGCTAATTGACAGGGGCACCGGCAAAGGTCATCTGAGGTCATGTGACGTCATAAATCGTTTTTCTGTAAATAAATCACGACATGATGGTGCTAAAGACTTGTAAGTGGTACCAAACTGCTCGCCTGGTCAAGGCGCGTCGTTTGGTATGCAGCATGACCATACCCCACAACCTCATTGATGAATGACCTGACCTTGACCTCAGGTCAAATTTCAAATTGACCTGTGAAGGTCATCACATACTTATTTCGCATCGCCTCGGCGAGAGCAACAAAAAATGTATTGGTTTTATGTCTCTATGTTTCTTAGTTTAAAAGTTATATAGGTAACTAATTCCAAAACATTTTATCGTTGATGACCTCTGGTGACCTCAATATTGACCTGACCTGAAAATGTTTTATGTAAAAGTTGTAGATCTTTAAACGACCTATCAAACGCCGTTCGCCGTTTGTCGCTGCGATGTGTAGTGTTTGAGATCTGAAGGGGGGGGGGGCCGAATCGGCCCCCCGCCAGTTTCTTGTCCCGGCGGAGCCCGCCAGGAATAGGGTTAATTGTTTTCATCTTGACTTCGCATTGGGGGTTGTCCCTGTTGGTGATTTTGGTAAATAAACAAATAAACAAGTGTTGGGCGCGGCTGGTAGCCTGCGCGCCAGGCCAGACGTACCGATAAAGACGAAGCCGGACCAGTAGTTGATGCCCATCATGTAGATGAAGTTGTTGGCCAGCAGGAAGTGAGAGCAGGTGGCCGCCGTGAGCACGAATAACAGCAGATACGTGCAGAACGATATGGCCTGGGCCGGCAGCGTGCCCCAGGGGATGCTGCGGCCCGGGTTGGCCAGCTCGCCTGCGGCAGGCAGCAGCAGTCAGCCGGCTCATACACAGTTACAGATATACAGCTGCGGGAGCCGGCTCATACACAGTTACAGATAGACAGCTGCGGGAGCCGGCTCATACACAGTTACAGATAGACAGCAGCAGTCAGCCGGCTCATACACAGTTACAGATATACAGCTGCGGGAGCCGGCCGGCCCATACACAGTTACAGATAGACAGCTGCGGCAGCCGGCTCATACACAGTTACAGATAGACAGCTGCGGGAGCCGGCCGGCCCATACACAGTTACAGATAGACAGCTGCGGCAGCCGGCTCATACACAGTTACAGATAGACAGCAGCAGTCAGCCGGCTCATACACAGTTACAGACAGACAGCTGCGGGAGCCGGCTCATACACAGTTACAGATAGACAGCTGCGGGAGCCGGCTCATACACAGTTACAGATAGACAGCAGCAGTCAGCCGGCTCATACACAGTTACAGATAGACAGCTGCGGGAGCCGGCCGGCCCATACACTGTTACAGATAGACAGCTGCGGCAGCCGGCTCATACACCGTTGCAGATAGACAGCAGCAGTCAGCCGGCTCATACACAGTTACAGATAGACAGCTGCGGGAGCCGGCCGGCCCATACACAGTTACAGATAGACAGCTGCGGCAGCCGGCTCATACACAGTTGCAGATAGACAGCAGCAGTCAGCCGGCTCATACACAGTTACAGATAGACAGCTGGGGCATTCCACGATAGATCGTACCACTTTTTTCCAATTTGACACCCTCATCTCTCGGAATTTGACGAGAATTGGTCTTAGGGGTAATCAGGGGCTCTGAATCCACCTGTAACAATTTCAGGCTTATCAGATAAGTATTTTTTGAGTTATGGTGTATTACATTTTTTGGATCTTGCTTTGCAGCGCTAAGTTTGGCGGGCTGTAACTCTGAGACGGATTATTCAAATGCCAAATGTTATATAACATTGAACTTGCAATGAAACAGGCATTAATATGTATTTTTGAAATTTCGAAAAATACGCTATTTTTGATATATGACATATCGAGTTTTCTTTCATTTCTATTTTTTGCACTTTGGGACCAATTTTTTTTGAATTTTTATTTCTTTAAAAAAATATTTGGCTTATTGTTAAGAAGTATGCAAAAAATTAGGAAGGTGTTCTTTCTATAAATGTATTTATTTTACGTCACGATAACGGTTAGGAATAGTGATTTCGGGATGGGAGCTTACAAATGGCGTGGTAAAGCTGCCTAGTGACATCACGGGTTACTGAAATTTCAATTCAAGTCTGAGTCATCTGAAAAAAAAGTGAAAAGAGGGTTCATTCAACCCTCTTTCCTATAATCGCGAGGGTAAAAAAGGCTGTTTGGTTCTGACATTGTTTTGGACGCCAATGACCATAGCTGTCCGAGATGAAAGCTACAGGACGCATACATGGTGTCTTCCAGATGTCTTACAACTTGTATATCTGGGAATTTTTCAAGGTTACATGAGGTCAGGTCGGTCACGTGACATCACTGTTATAAATCAATGGGGAAATATAAAAACTGTTATTTTGGCGCCGAGAATGATCTAAAACTATCCCACGCACATGGTATCGTGATTTCATGCACTCCTTGCAAAGCCCAATGCTTTACTTTTGCATTGCTAACCTTGCGTGACGTCATTTATGACGTCACTAGGGTCGTACGAGTTTTTCGTCAATTACTCCCGATCAAATCGAGCTAGAGAGTCGGGAAAGCCACCAATGGACTCGGAAAGACCTTCCGAATCGAATGATATGCCATATGATACCCTTTGCCCAGCTTCGTGACCTGAGGGGCTCTGACCTGACCTTGACCCGAGGTCAACTACTTAAGTTGACCTCACCCTAGCAAAAAGTATACCATTCGATGCACCTGAGCTAGGCGAACACAATAATGCCAAAATCGCGGCTGTGCGACCATTTTTTGCGAAGTTATTTACTAAAAACCGAACCCGTAACTTCAGTCACGTGACCTGACCTCAGACGCTACCGGTTAACCTGAGACCTTAAAATCGGGTACCAATCGCTGCGACTTGTAACGGCACATACGCTCGTTTTTTCCGCGAGGCTCTAGCTCTATTAGAAGCGAAACGGCGTGCTGGGGTCGTATCAACCCCTCCGAAACCCATTTTGTTTGCGGGAAAATGAGGAACTTATAGAAATAACACCTTTCTAATTTTTTGCATGTCGATTTGCAATGACATGAAGATTATTTTTAAAAAAAATAAAAATGTGAAAAATTTTGGTCCCAAAAGTCATTAGAGGCAAATGAAAAAAGATTAAGGTTTTTGCTCAACAATGAAATTTTTTCTTTGGAATTTTTAAATAATAATATTAATTTTTGATTCATCGTAAGCCTAGTGTTGTTTACTTTTTGTTGGTTGCTTGACCCGTTCTTGAGTTATAGGCCATCAAACTCACCGTTACATACCGAAGTTAAAAAAATGTAATGGAATATAACTCAAAAAGTTTTGATCTGATAAGTCTGATATTTTGCCAGGCGTCTTTGGGGCCTATGATTACCCCTAGGACCGATTTTCATTAAAATCTGAGAGATGAGGGTGACGGGCCAAGTACGATCTATCGTGGAATGTCCCAGCTGCGGGAGCCGGCTCATACACAGTTACAGATAGACAGCTGCGGCAGCCGGCTCATACACAGTTACAGATAGACAGCTGCGGGAGCCGGCTCATACACAGTTACAGATAGACAGCAGCAGTCAGCCGGCTCATACACAGTTACAGATAGACAGCTGCGGGAGCCGGCTCATACACAGTTACAGATAGACAGCAGCAGTCAGCCGGCTCATACACAGTTACAGATAGACAGCTGCGGGAGCCGGCCGGCCCATACACAGTTACAGATAGACAGCTGCGGCAGCCGGCTCATACACAGTTGCAGATAGACAGCAGCAGTCAGCCGGCTCATACACAGTTACAGATAGACAGCTGCGGGAGCCGGCCGGCCCATACACAGTTACAGATAGACAGCTGCGGCAGCCGGCTCATACACAGTTGCAGATAGACAGCAGCAGTCAGCCGGCTCATACACAGTTACAGATAAACAGCTGCGGGAGCCGGCTCATACACAGTTACAGATAGACAGCTGCGGCAGCCGGCTCATACACAGTTACAGATAGACAGCTGCGGGAGCCGGCTCATACACAGTTACAGATAGACAGCAGCAGTCAGCCGGCTCATACACAGTTACAGATAGACAGCAGCAGTCAGCCGGCTCATACACAGTTACAGATAGACAGCAGCAGTCAGCCGGCTCATACACAGTTACAGATAGACAGCTGCGGGAGCCGGCTCATACACAGTTACAGATAGACAGCAGCAGTCAGCCGGCTCATACACAGTTACAGATAGACAGCTGCGGGAGCCGGCCGGCCCATACACAGTTACAGATAGACAGCTGCGGCAGCCGGCTCATACACAGTTGCAGATAGACAGCAGCAGTCAGCCGGCTCATACACAGTTACAGATAGACAGCAGCAGTCAGCCGGCTCATACACAGTTACAGACAGACAGCTGCGGGAGCCGGCTCATACACAATTACAGATAGACATCAGCAGTCAGCCGGCTCATACACAATTACAGATAGACAGCTGCTGCAGCCGGCTCATACACAGTTACAGATAGACAGCTGCAGCAGCCGGCTCATACACAGTTACAAATAGACAGCTGCGGCAGCCGACTCATACACAGTTACAGATAGACAGCTGCAGCAGCCGGCTCATACACAGTTACAGATAGACAGCTGCGGCAGCCGGCTCATACACAGTTACAGATATACAGCTGCGGCAGCCGGCTCATACACAGTTACAGATATACAGCAGCAGTCAGCCGGCTCATACACAGTTACAGATATACAGCTGCGGCAGCCGGCTCATACACAGTTACAGATATACAGCTGCGGCAGCCGGCTCATACACAGTTACAGATAGACAGCAGCAGTCAGCCGGCTCATACACAGTTACAGATGGACAGCTGCGGGAGCCGGCTCATACACAGTTACAGATAGACAGCTGCAGCAGCCGGCTCATACACAGTTACAGATAGACAGCTGCGGGAGCCGGCCGGCCCGGCTGCGGGAGCCGGCCGGCCCGGGCCGGCGCTCCTAACTGCTCGTTTACGGATATACGTCTGAAGCACACCACAGCTACCATATCGAATCACAATGGGAACATCCGCCCCGCAAATGGATACAATCGCCTCACAGTGGCTCAGCACGTCCCGCACCGGATACACAAGCTGGGGCATAAACTTCTCCGTCCAGGGGGATAAACGGGGGCGGAGCCAGGGGGCAACAGGGCGAAGAGAGCGACTAGCTTGATTCGCCGACTTGGCCCGGCATTTTGCCGACCGATCGCCAACCAGCGCCACCGGCGCCCGCCGTCGCACACGCGGTGTCAGGTGAAGATGAAGTCCGAATGGTCTGAGAAAGCTAAACACAATCTAACCTGAACTAACCTCACCTACTAACCTACCAAACTACAACCTACTAGCCTACAACCTACCAACCTACAACCAACCAACCTACAACCTACCAACCTACAACCTACCACCTACAACCTACCAACCTACAACCTACCAACCTACAACCTACCAACCAACCATTCGGACTTCATCTACACATATACCCAAATCATCAATAGCTCAGGCTGTATTTTTAAATCACTACATCTCTAGACTGTTACTGACATACTGACATTTGGTTGACTTTAGGAATGATGGTAAAGTACACTAGCTGAAATGTGAAGCACCTACCAGTTGCCAATTAAAATAAAAACTTAACTAATCGTCTCTGACTAAGCGCCTAGGTTGTCTCAAATTGTCTTCAAAGTCCCAGTACATGAACCATCAAACATCTTTCACTAGCTGAAATGTGAAGTACCAGTTTCCAATTAAAATAACTTAAAAATAATCGTCTTTGACTAAACGCCTAGGTTGTGTCAAATTGTCTCCGAAGTCCATACACCATCAAATATCTATCCAGACACCACACATCTATCCAGTTTTTTTTTTGCTTAAAGGGAGATAATGAGCTTTCTTTTTTCTTAAATAACCCTCGCCGGCACCGGCCATTTTGCGTCCTTCGACGGCACAAGGGGGGGGGGGGTGGTACGACCCCCCCCCCCTCGCGTTTGGCCCCTGATCGAGCTAGAGCTTCGCGGAAAAAACGAGCGTGTTGCCCGTCACAAGAGGAAGCCGACGAAACCCAATTTTAAGGTCCTAGGTCATCGGGTGACCTTCCAGGTCAGGTCAATGACCCGAAAACCGGGAAAATCGGGACCTGTTAGAAAGTCGTAAAGTGTGGCTGCTATGTGGTTTTCCGGGGTGCTGATCACGAATATCGTGTTAGTTTTGATCAGAGAAGATGTTTTTAAGCATTTAGACCAGGTCGGGTCAGGTCAGGTCAGGTCAACCGGTAGGGGTTGTGACGGGTATTCGTAATACGTGTCAACCGCCTCTGACAGCTTCGTAACATGTTACGAAGGCACCAAAACTACTTCATAAATGTTCAAATGGTTGCTAAATTCGAATTCAGCTCCAAAAACTAGCCTAGAAACATGTAAAACTCGAAAAAGTGAACCGAGGTCACCCGAGGTCACCAAAGGTCAATGACCTGACCTGACCTTCAGGTGACCTTGACACCCACCCTAATATATGGGAGCAACATCAAATCACATGCTTGAACGTTTGAAACCACGAAAAGCTTGCAAACGCGCGGCTAATGCGAGCCGACATACGCCGAATCACGATTTCGGCCAAACATGGTCACGGAAAAGAGGTCACAGGTCAAAGGTCATTGGGGTCAGGGTCATGAAATTTTCAGGGAACGTGTAAAATTGATCAATGCGAGGGTACTGTAAGTTTCATTGCGATCGGCCGCTTTTTACGCGAGTTATTCGCGAAAAACCTTAGGGGGGCTTGCATCAACCCCCCTGTGCCGGCGAGGGTTAAATAAAAACTATTCGACCTTCATGTTATTTTTACTGAAGTTGATTAAAAAAAAGAAGAATTTCCTGGCACATATTCGTATGTGAAAGCTGTTTTTATTTTCACAAAAAAAAAATAAGCAGTACTTGCAAAACCCACTGAAATGCTTTGTCCTTCTCTTTAAAAAAGTCGCAGTGTACGGCGCTTTTGTTTCAAACAACGACGCGTTATTCCCATAGCGTTATTTTGCGTTATTCTATTTCTGCCGCCACACATGACATTCGGCGGAGACGAGGTTAGATATCATGGTTGAGGTCAGACGTCCGGGCATCACGAACCATGGACATCACGACTTCCGAGGGCGGGATCACGAATTCCGAGGGCGGCACTACTATGTACTTCAAAGGGCAGCAATGTGATTGTAAAGGGCGGTACTTCGTCTTAATGGGGCGGCACTCTGACTTCAGGGAGAGAAGTAACATAATCTGAGCGTTTAATATCAATTAAGAGAGTTGCTACCAGAGATTATTATGAAATGAACTTTGCTCATTTCCGTAAAATGCACTCGAACGCCTATCGAAAAAAGCCAGGCGGCGGAGGGCGGCATTTTTTCGATAGGCTAGGGTCATCGGCCTCCAGCCCCCCCCCCCCCCGGATCCGCGCCTGACATGGCGTGACCTTTGGCTTCCAACAGATTTGGTTTCCAGAACAAACCCGTTTATGGCCATTCAGTTCACGACAACCAGTTTTTGTAATGCTTGAATATTACCGCAGTAGCAGTCTGTGTTAACGGTCGTCCTTGGGGCATCACGTGAAGCTGAAGGAGCGCACCGTGGCTCAAAATGTCTCACACTTTGATTTTCGACGAGTGCCTGGCCGTCTCGGCTGTTCGGGCGTTGTCACCATTTGACGTCCACACACGTCTTTGGTGTCGCTTCAAAGGGCAGAATACCTTCGTAAGACCACAAAGTGTGTTTCCATTCACCTTTTTATTGCATATGTTATGATTTATGGCTGCTTTGTAGTAATCTGCGCTGTCTTTCCGTTAGTTTTGGCATATTTTTCAAATGAGGGGCCCTAAATTCCAAAACTTTGTCGAAGATAGTGGTCAAAAGTAGACTGATGTTTCGTAGCTAACCCTGATCTGTCGTTTAGCTTGTTTTTGGGTAGATGGGTGACGTTTGTTGCCCATGACATGGCAACCACCCGCTTTACTCTTTGCTGACTCTGGATAATAACTGTGAACGGTCACCAAAAACACACAGTCTCCAAGCTCGATAGCTAAGGTATGTCTTATAAAAGTATAATGCTCGTATAAATTAATAAGGATCAAGCGCAATCGTACTTCTAGCCAGCAAATAAATGTTCGGTCAATTCTGGGACAACCTGTAGGACTGTAGGTGTCATAGGAGCCAATCGCGAGGGGGGTCGCATCGACCCCCTGCATAGCCATGTTATGAAAAATACTTTACCAGGGCTAAGGTTAAGATCTCTGCAAGATATATCCCCCGATTGCTGACTCTGCAGAGAAACTGCAAGCTCGAAAGGAGGTTTAGCGCGAAGTTTTTGGCCCCTTTATCGAAAATCTAGAAGATGTCATTGAACAATTTGTTACCGTAAATGAATTGTGGGTGTCACACGTTGACACTAAGGGACACCGTGCCGAGTTGCGCAAGCAGAAGCACACCGAGTAACGGCCACCAAATGAGTGCAACGTGGTGAAGTTAGTCGGCAAGGTGATAGTGGTTGCATTTTGGGATGCTGACGGGGCTCTGCTCGTCAACCTTCTAAAACAGGGGCGCACCATTGATGATGTGCGTCCATTCGATAGACATCGAGGAGAGGCTATAGGGAACCTGACAAAGTGCGCACCTGATCCACGACCACGCACCTGCGTACATGGGCGGGGTGACGATCAGTGAAGCGGTGAGCTGTGGCTTCGAGTTGTTATCGCATCCACTTTTTTCTCCGAACCTTGCACCCTCTGGTTGCCACCTCTTTCCCAACATAAGGAAATTAGCAGTGGCAACTTCGCTGACAGCAGGGAGACGAAAGCAGCCGCCTTGGACGTGCAGGATGGGTCTAATCCCCACTTGGTTATGCAGACCTTGAGGGCTCTCGCGAAGCGCTGCGCAAAATGCGTTTGTTTTAACGGTGGTTATTTGAATAAATGAACGTTTTGGTCTAATAAGTCAATGCTGTATCTCTGCTCCTTCATGGTCGGGCCCGTAACTTTCTGAAAGCCCATCGTACTGTCATCCTTTTATTTTGGCAAGCAGGTCGGCAAGCAGGTCTAACTATCGTAGTGTTTCGAGACCTCGTTAGTTGTCGAACCCTTCAATTGGCGTGGGTCTTCAAAGCCGTTCCTGGCTCCGCAGCCGTCTTTTTTAGTCATCTTGGGCATCCAAAGCCGTTCCTGGCCCCTTTCAGCAAAGCCGTCCTTTTAAGTCGGCGCGGGCCTCTTTTAGAATGGCGTGCATTCCTCCGACACTATTGCCTATATAACTGCACGTTTTGTGCACGGGGCTCGGTGAGGACCTATAATTCCTTTTTTTTAAATTTGGTGTGTCTTTTCAATGACCAGGGTAAAAAAAAGTGGCCGAAATCCGATGAGAAAGGCAGATTTGGGAGTACCCAACCTTGTAAGCCCCGTCACATATGGCCGGCCGCCGCCTCTGGGCCCTACAAATCATTTTCAGAAAACGACACCCCTGCCGAAGTGTTGTGGTCCAGGAGCCGAGTTAGAAGGGGTGTGATCAAACACCCCGCCCCCTCCCCGTGGAAACCCAGGACCCCGAGCGCAGCGGGGCGGGGTTGAGAAAGACCCTTGTAGGTAAACGATGCCCGAGTGCAGGCTGCCGCTGTCGGAGAAAACGCTAAAATAAAAACTAAAACAATAAAATATTGCCGAGGAAGGCGTTTGATGTGTTTCTCGGCAGTGTTGAACAGGAGTAGTTGCAGCGCTCCCGCCTTTCAGTCATTGGGGGCCGTCTTAAACACAGCCGGAGACGGAGCGAGTGTCGGGCCGACCGGTTAGTCAGCCTTCCCGGCGGAAACTTACCCGACATGTTGGCTCCAGCCATGATGCCGGTCACGCCGGAGAAGAGCACGGCGAACACGGTGAAGAAGTCGGGCACGGCGTGCTGGCCGGCGTCCGTGTAGTCCGGCTCGTAGGACGGCCACAGGTTCGACTCCAGCGTGCTCCAGTTGAAGCCAGTGAACATGGCGTGCGTGATGTTAGGATGCAGCTGGTTGGCCTCGGGCAGCAGCACCTGGTGTTCGGGCGGTGAAACGGTCACACAAGGTGGTGCCGCCATTTCATACAGCTTCAGCTCGTGGCGCTGGGGCTGTTCTCATCAGACACACAACAACTGGAGGAAGATTCGAGGGCATTCACATTAACGCACACCAATGCACCTTTTGCAAAGGTTTGGGAAGCAAACGCAATTACTAATTACCAGTATAACGCCTTTTGGGGCGACTCACGGATCGAGCGAGAGGGTGAGCCTTGCACGTGCGAAATTGCGAGAGGGTACCTCCAACTGAGTTGTGCATGGCACCCTAGTAACCGGTCTCTAGCGATGTGCCGAATTTGAGCACAATCGGCCCAGTCGTTCTCGAGATCTAGAAGCGGCACCCTGCACGTGCGCACGTGCAAAATGGGTCCCAACTGACTTGTGCACGGCACCCTACTAACTGGTCCCTAACCGTGTACCAAATTTGAGCGCCATCGGTCCAGCCGTTCTCGAGATCTGGAAACGACCCCTGCACGTGCGCACGTGCAGCAGCATCCCAACTCTGGCACATGGATATGCATTGCCTAGTGTATTGTGTATTGTGTATTCAAAGGCCGTTCCACAAAGTGGCTCTTAGGGCCCAGTCAATACAAACTCAATGAAACAAAGCACAATAAAAAAGGTAAAAACTTGAGACATCCATCTGTCATAAATATCAAATCAGGCTTTAAAATGACCACACAAGGAGCGCCTGGTCGGACATGAGGTCACATCTCGTGGAAGCTCATTCCACGATACCGCGGCCCTGTATGGGAAGAGTCGCCTCGCCATGGTGAGCCGGTAGCGGGGCAGCTCCAGCACCGACACCCCCGCGGCAGCGCTGCGCGTCTCGCGCTCCGATACGGCGGCACGAGGGCGAAACATCGCACGCAGGGGGCCGGGCGCGGAAACAACGTGGAGAGCGCGATATACGTTCAGCGCGTCACGACGCGCGATCATCTCCCGAATGTCCGGCCAGCCGAGCGCGGCGAGAGCGGGGCCGACATGGTCGTATCGGCGGAGACCTGTGACCAGCCGAGCTGCGAAATGGAGGACTTTTTGCAGCCGGTCAAGACGGGAGTTAGGAGCACCACCCCACACTGACGAGCAGTAATGGAGGTGGGGGAGAACGTGGGCAAGGACAAGGATTTTGAGAATGTTGGGGGAGAGGAAATGACGGATTTTGTATAGGGATATGAGGATTGTGTTCAGGCGTCGGACCAAGGATGAGATGTGCGCTTCCCAGCTCAGTGTTTGGTCGAAGAGAACACCTAGGATTTTGATGTGCTTTTGAGGCCGAATGTCCACTCCATCCACATGTAAGATGAAGTCTGACGATTTGGAGACGGTGTTAGACGAACCAAAAATAGTGAAACATGTTTTTTCGGTGTTCATTTTTAGACCGTTAGAACTGAACCAAACCTGCAAAATCCTGATGTTCTCCTCGACCCGGGACTTCATGGCTTGGAGTTCACTAGGTTTAGAGGGTGTTGAGTCAAGGATCTGGGTATCGTCTGCCATGGGTGTCGATTTGTATACCTTTGGGGGTGCTGCAGCACCCCCAATGCTCAAATGAGCACCCCCAATGGTTTTCCGGGCACCCCCGAATGTTCCAGTTAGCACCCCCAATGATTTTGTCCTTCAATAACTCCCACTAACTCTGCTTGAAGAAAATAATTGGTTCTGCAGTCTTTCACTACTAAAACTAAAACAATTACACAACTTGCAATGCATGAAATAAAGATGTAAAGAAAAGAAAAGTTAGTTTTAAGAAGAAGGGCGAAAAAACGGTAAGTTGCAAAGACACTGGTGCAGTGGCGGATCCAGGGGGGGGGGGCTGCGGGGGCTGGCAGCCTCCCTCCGCGCAATATCCGCTCCTGCGGACCGCAGGGGCTGCTGCACCGGTGCTAATCGCCGTCATCGGTTACTGTCGCCTTATTACCGAGGTGCCGGGGCTGCAACCAGCTGCCGGCAAATGTACGACTTTTTTCGGAGACATATTTATGTAATAAGGTAGCCAAGTACCTACCAGGACGAGCAGAATGATGCTGAAGAACGTTCAACCTTTGGGAAATATTAGTGGAAATCCCTGGATTATCAGTAGGTACCTTATGAGGATACCCAACCATGCCTTGTATGTACGGTTGTGCCCCATGGCAAAGCTGCAATCTTTCACCCGGTGCAGGGGTTGAGCACCCCCAACCATTTTGAAAAATCGACACCCCTGTCGTCTGCATAGGATAGGAGTCGGCCGTGGGGAAGGAAACATGACAGGTCGTTAACGAAGGTGAGGAAGAGGATTGGGCCGACTATGGACCCCTGAGGGACACCATGGGTTAGAGGAAGTTGAAGAGTGCCGCCGCGGACGATCTGAGAACGGCAGGATAGGTAGCTGCTGAGCCAGCGGGAAGAGATGCCATACCACTCCAGCTTGTTCAGCAGCATGGAGTGGTCGACACTGTCGAACGCCTTGCTCAGGTCGATGGACGTCAGCGGCACGAGGTGACCGACGTCAATCTTCCCGGCCGCCCACTCGACAATGTCGAGCAGGGCATCTTCAGTGGAATGGGAAGGACGGTAGGCGTATTGGAAGGGTGATAGGATGTGGTTCTTGATAAGGTAAGAGTTGAGCTGGGAGCACACGATCTTTTCAAGGATTTTTTAGAGGACGGGTAGAATCGATATGGGACGAAAGTTTCCAGGATTGTCGGTGTTGCCAGACTTATGGATAGGTATAACGATGGCAACTTTCCAATCGGTAGGAAAGGTAAGGGTGGATATGGATGAGTTGATGAGATGAAGGATATGCGGGGCTATGACAGGGAAACAGCTTAGGATGGCGTGGAGTGAGATCCCATCGGCCCCGACCGCTCTCGACGCGCCCAATTGACGGACAGTAAGCGAGAGCTCAGGCAGAGTCACAACATGTGGTGAAAATGCTGACGCACACGGGTGGAGAATGTTTGAAAAAGTTACCCCGGCCGGCGACCGAAAGTCAGAAAATACTCAAATATTTGTCAACGGTTATCAACAAACCCCTATTCTGTGGCATAGAATAATGGATGTCTGCGTACGTTTTTAGGCAAAACTGCTGCACGCAGGTGCGGAAGATTTCGTAATTGTAACAACAATTTTGCAACACGCCTTAAAATTTCGGACGCATGTCACCTAGTGCTAGGTCAGGTCATCAGGTCAAATTTGCTGGATGATCGTGCTAAAAATGCCATCATGCCCTTTGCAAAGCTTATTGCGTGGAAGTTGCAACCTTCCCACACAAAACAAAATAACAAATTTGACCGTTTTGACCCTCTTATTGATTTGAGCTCGCACCTGAAATATTATTCGCGACCGAGCCTTAAACGAGTAATCGAATGTTTTGTTTGCAGTGCTTAAGCTCCGTTATGTTCATGAACTGTGAGAAAAGTTGTCGGAGAACGCTAAAATCAAAGAAATGATGATTTTATATTTGAGCTTGCCTAAAACATGACCAGATTTCTCTGGTCACGTTTGTCGCTCTTTCAAACGTCGTTCCGCTTCTCGCCTCGTAGCCCAGGAGCCGAGTTAGAAGGAGTGTGAAAAGCCCACCTCTCGACTCAACGTGCTACGATTAGGCCACCACCCTGGCGCGGGTTAAGTTGGAGGAGCCTTGAGCCCCAGCAGCTCGTCCTTCTATCTCACTGATATTACCCTCGTCCTGTCTTGCGATGTTATTACAGTGCCATCTTACGATAACGGCCCTTAAATATGATTTGCTTCTGTTTGATGAAACATGTCGGGCTCCGCGATGAAAAGACTTAAAAACATAGAAGCTCCAAAATGAAAATAAAGTAAATTTTCAACAACTTTTCAAGGTAGATAAGAATAATGAGAGACACTTTTATAGATGGCAGTTTTTTTTTCGTATGGAGACAGCTTTTAGGATTTACAAAAGTGGAAAAGTTACCCCGGCCGCACCGGGGTCGGCTGAAAGTTACCCCGGCCACGGCCGGGGTGACCGGGGTAGGTTCTCCACCCATGCTGACGCACAGACTCGATAGGGTCGCGGGCCGGCAGCAGGGGCTCCGACACGGAGCGCGGCACGAGCGGTTGCTGCAATACGAGCACCCACACCAGCAAAATGGGTATTAAGCTGATCGGCACTCAGATCGATGTCACTCGCTCCCACACCACTCCTATCACCCTTCGGCGAGAAATTCGCCCCGAACTGCCTAAGCCTGGCCCAGAAACGTCTGGCGTCACGTCCTAGCAATTCGCCCAGATAGGCGCGGCGGTGTCGGTCTAAAACTAGTTTTGTCTCATTTCGGAAGCGTCGGTAAACATTGTGGTCAGTGGTCACGATCAGAGCGAGAAGCAGCCCAGGCACGACGCGCAGCATCAGGGCCTCGGCTAACATGTTAACTGGTGGGCCAAATGGCCTACCAGTGACCCGAAATGGCCCACCAGTCTCAAAGATTTGGCCCACCAGTTATTTTCCGAAAAATCGAAGTTTTCACATTTTTCACTTTTCAAATTGAAAAAGCAGATCTTATCGTACATTTTCAGGCTGTAAAGTACCCATCGGTGAAACATATTCTTGTGAAAAAACTTCAACCTATTGTTTGCAATATCCTCTTGGGTGGACTATAGTACCCACAACTTTAAAAATCCACCACCTACGTCTTTGCTGTATGATTTTTACTTCGATCTCCATGTGACGTCACAGTACTTCCATGTCCAGTGGTGTCCGGTGTGCTCAACCGGACACCACCAGATATGCAACGGATATTAACGGATGACAAACGGACGTCCAACGGAAACAAACGGACAATATACCCTGCAAACGGACATCACCGGACGCTGACAGTTCTCGTCCGTTTCTCGTCCGTTGGTCCAATCCGGTGAAGTGTGACCGAGGCTTTAAATTTTATGCAATAATCGTGAAAGACGTCTGCCTCTGTCAATTACAGATAGTGTCGGCGGCTTCCAGCCGATCGAGGTCTGCGAAAGTTCTTGCAAGC